CCCCCGTGTGAGCATTAGTGAGTTATACACCCCCGTGTGAGCATTAGTGAGTTATACACCCCCGTGTGTGCCTTAGTGAGTTTTGCACCCCCGTGTGTGCCTTAGTGAGTTTTGCACCCCTGTGTGTGTCTTAGTGAGTTATACACCCCTGTGTGTGCGTTAGTGAGTTAAACACCCAGGGTTACCAACTCTCACGCATCTGACATGACATTCATTCTTTCAGAGTCTCGTGCTCACACAAGAAATCTTACAGCAAATCTGTATTATTCTATTATAAACCTAAAACTAGCTACTGTACCTCAAAAGAGTTGGGGTAGTTTTCAAACCCTGCAGGCTATTTACAAGGTAACAAAAATCTTGCATGCATGTACATGTGTGTGCAAACTTGTCTCAAATTGAAAATCTCATGCCAGTCAGGTGATCAAAGTTGGCGACCTTGTACACCCCTAGGTGTGCATTACTGAGTTATACACCCCTGTGTGTGTGTTAGTGACCTGTACACCCCTGAGTGTGTATTACTGAGTTATACACCCCTGTGTGTGTGTTAGTGACCTGTACACCCCTGAGTGTGTATTAGTAACTAATGCACCCTTGTTAGTGAGTTATACACCCCTGTGTGTGTGTTAGTGACTTGTACACCCCTGGGTATGTGTTAGTGACTTATACACCCCTGAGTGTGTATTAGTAACTAATGCGCCCTTGTTAGTGAGTTACACACCCCTGTGTGGGCATAACTGTGAATGAGGCACTGAAGCATGAGACGATGGGTCAGAAGAAAGCAGAGGAGGCCTCTCTTGTCGGGATGAGATGACCTCACAGTTTATCACAAGCATGGCCTTCGTGAACTCCCTCTGTGCCGATGCAGGATGCTGTTTTTGCTGTTTTCCCTTCCTCTATGAAAAAAGAGAGTACCCTGATATTGATAGAGTTCAAAGCTGAGCTCTTGGGACCTTTGTGCTTTTAAAGATCGACATGCTGTTTCAGGTTGGGGGGGGGTTGGGCTTAGGGCCACTCTGCTGCCTGCTCCCAGCTATAAATGAGACATCAACAGTGGGCCTTGCAGCTTGGACATGTGACCGGCATGGAAAAATGATGGGGAGGGGATGGGGTAGGAAGTGGAGGCAGCGGCCTGGTCTAGCGGGGCTGTGCTGGTGCATTATGGGCTTTTCAGGGTCCTTCATGGTGCTCCAGGCTGCCATCTTAAAGATCTGCAGTTAAATCCTGTTTTGTGGGGTAATGAAAGTAGGGCTCCTTTTGGGTCGGGGGTCGTGGGCAGGGGTGTCGGGGGAGCCTGAATGTGGGAACAGAGCGCCACCTGCTGTCTGCCTTCTTATATCCATGGGTCTTTAAGGGATGATGTGCCAAGCTGCAAAGGTGCTCTGTTCATCCCCATGGTATCCAGGCTGAATTTTCCACCTTTCCCTCCTTGAGAGACACGTTGATTTATTGGAGGGAGCTGATGTTTTGGGGGCAGAGAACAGGGCCAGCAGCATGCAACGCCCCCCTCAAACAGATGGGTTTAGGGTCTCGCTCAGCGGCCCAGCCATGATATGATTACTCTGCCGGCTACAGGATTCAAACCCATGACCTTGCGGACACAGGCGCTGATCCTCAGCCCACAGTGTACTGTTTTAACATTCCTGCAGCGTTCTGGATGTTTATTATATAACTCATTCCCTGACATTTCGAGAGCGTTAGCAGGGAGCCATACAGTATGTGTGAACACCCCTGTTTAACCACACCAGCCTGTCCAGCAGAGGTCAGAGATTATGTAGATATTTAAAATTTGAATTTCATTGGGAAGTTCAACCTCCCAGGTTCCCCACACTGATGCCTTCCTGTCCCCCCCCCCCACCCCCTACACACTGATGGCGGAGCAGAACATGCTGTCGGAGAAGGTGGAACAGATGATGGAGTGGAGTTCCCGTCGTTCCGTCATCCGCATGAACGGCGACAAGTTCCGGCGATTCGTCAAGGCGCCGCCCCGCAACTACTCCGTGGTGGTGATGTTCACCGCACTGCAGCCGCAGAGGCAGTGCTCCGTGTGCAGGTGCGACAGACGATTGCACACACGCGTACGCACAAGGACACACAGGGACAGACACACAGAGACATGGATACTGGAGCAGAAACATGGACACACAGTAACACTCACACAGGGACATATACAGGGACAGACACACAGAGACATGGATACTGGAGCAGAAACATGGACACACAGTAACACTCACACAGGAACATATACTGGGACAGACACAAAATGAACACACTTGTCTGATAAGCAAGCTGTGTTTTTGCTCACCATTCCCACACTGATAACCCAGCACAGACCCACACGTGACCTCGCGCTTTGTGGGGAGCCAATGGGTGCTGCCATGTGGGCTGGGTGGAGGCAGGGCTGAGGACCCCCCCGGGGGTGAGGTTACTGCCTGACAGACAGATACCTTTAGTGAGGGAGACTGATGACCGCATGAGGTCGTGTTTTAATTAGAGTCCAGTTCACACACTACATCTGTCCCTGCTGTGATTAGAGAACCTTTATAATGAAATTCATAGCTAACTAATAAGCAAAACAAAAATAATCTAAATAATCAGGTAAGCCCAACCTGCACTGTGTTACCTACAGACTGTTGCACAGATGAGGTAACTCAGTGATGCAGATGCAAGCCATAGTTTAATAAGCTCATCCACAGAAAGGTTGCTGTTTCACATTATAGTTTAATAGATTAATTCTCGGTATTGTTAATGAGCTCATTCAGGGTTAGGGTTCCATGTCCATGTCATTCAGTGTTAGGGTTCTATGTCATTCAGTGTTAGGGTTCTGTGTCATTCAGCTGGCTCTTGTGCTGTAACCCCCAGTGTACCTGCCTGTTTGTTGTAAGAAGAGGTTCACCTACAGGAGTGGTATCTTGATGATGGCTTTCTCTTCTGGTAATTGATGCCCCATCTGTCTCCATCTTCCGGAGCAGGCAGGCCAATGAGGAGTACCAGGTGCTGGCCAACTCTTGGCGTTACTCCACCGCCTTCTCCAATAAGCTCTTCTTCACCGTGGTGGACTATGACGAGGGCGCCGACGTCTTTCAGCAGGTACCTGTATCAGGGATGACCCCTCCCCCCCCCCCCCCCCCCCGATCCCTCAACACCCCCGACTCACTCACAGTGGGAAACGAAAATTCACCAAGCGCTGAAATCTCTGTTGGGTTTGAAAGGTGCCTCAAATCTGACAGCAAGTACCTGCACACAGTGCATCCAGCATGTACACATACACACGTAGTCATTCACACATAGTAAATGCACAGTAACTGTGATGTTGTTGTAGGGGTTGCGTTCACTGTTTCCCACTCTGACTGTCCAGCAGCACCTACTATACCAGCCTGATCGGAAATTAAGCAAAGTGACGCACTTTCCCTCGCCGTGTCTGCAGCTGCGTGTGTTTCTGTTTACTGTTCAATCAGTGTTTTTCTTTTCTCGAACACCACTACGGAAAGCCTTTAAGTAAGGCATGTTTCTGCACGGCACATAACGTCCAGGCTACCGCTGGAAAAACCTGGAAAAACACGGCATTATACCGAAAACGTAAAGTGCGCGTGCAGCTAGGGCTGTTCGCTGGGAGCAAATGGAGGGGGTTAGGGAGGCTTATTGCCATTTTTTTGAGTAAATAAAAAGCGCGCCGCTTTGGCGTCGGCGGTATAATTACGACATAGCGACAGGTAATGAAACGCAGATGGATCTTTAGCTGCTTTTTCTGAATTCCTGCCGACGATTCGCTTCTCACACGCTTACAAAAACGACGTGTCTGCTTCTTTGATGAAATGATCCCCTCCACTTTTCTGTAGCTTTCAGCCGTGGGGGGGAAGGTGTATGTTGGGGGGGGGGGGGAAAACACCCGTCCCTGAAGCGGCTCTCATTTTTCGTAACACCTAATGATGGCGATGTGGAGTGCAGCAGTTGCGGTGGCTGCAGCGAGTCCCCCGCCTCGTCATACACCAGCGTCTG